TACTATTTGTTAATTATCAAAACTGTTTGTTTAGCAAGTCCTCCTCTCATGGCAGAAAGAATTCTGCAACAGAGTAAAGAAGCAGAAATTGCTATGGCTGATGCTCTGGTTAGTTTTATTTTAATATAAAGAATATTAATTAAAAATAGTCAAATCTGGTTAATTTAAATTTGATTAATTTAGCTAAATTGAATCTATTCTTATTATTTTTTTTTTTTTATATAAGAGCAGATTCAAGCTATTTTGCATGTTATATTTGATTGAAAACAAATTAAAAGCATAGAGAAAATATGATAAATCATACAGTAAGAATAGATTTTGAGTGTGTATATTATGGTAAAACCTGTGAATTGGATAATGCTGATTTTATCAGTTGTTGGTTAAATCAAGTAACAATCTACTAAATTTGAATTTTATCCATATAAAGTGCACTTTAATGAAATCACAAGCAGATAGAACTGACATTATCCAAAGCAGATGGATGAAACAAAAGCAAAATTTCAAATTTGAGCTTTTTTAATCCTATTTTGGATAACACAAGAAAAAAGATTAAGTTTAATAAATTATTTTCTTTGTATTTGAGATCATATTGATAATTAATAAAAAAAATATGATCTCAGATACAAAGAAAATAATTTATTGAAATGAATTGGCTTCAATAAATTTTGCATTGTATTATTGCATGTTAGATAAATAGATAAATATTTATAATGAAGGGCAATAATTATTAGATCCATTGTTTCCAGGCTAGATTGAAAAAAAGACATTCACATGGGACTTGATAACATTAATAGGTTTTAATATGAAGAATAGCTCTTGTTAACAAGAATATTTATGACCAGAGTTAAATGAGGTAGCAGATTTTGTTTATTAATCTGCAATAACACTTTCATATCAACAGAATAGTAAATTTTTATGGTTTACACCTGAACATTTGAAAAGTTAACATATTTATCGAAAAAGTTTACTATGAAAAACAATTGTCGACTTCTTTGCTGATTCTTAAATACCAATAGGTTCACATAGTCCTTGTAAGCCATGAAAGCCATAAAAAATTTTCCTTGAGAGTACAATCCATTTCCCTCTTTTTAGGACTTAACCCAACTCACCAAGTAAAAAAAGAAAATAGTTTTTAGTACTTTCCTTCTTATTTCCTGCATTCCTAGATATTAGTTTTGACGAAACTGGTTTGCACAAACACAAACAAGCTAGGGGAATCACTAAAGCTAATAATGTACAGCACACATTGATAAAATAACTGGATGAAATGCATAAAACATGCTTATTTTTAATTGCTTTCTCTACCAACATATAAATATTTCACTTGATGGTGATTTAAAAAAAAAAAACTGTATTATTTTTAAATTTGAAATATTATCTATGATGATGATGATCAAATAACTATAAAAATTATTATTCATTTTAAAGTTTAGGAAAATGCATATATAGTAAAGCCTATGCAGAGGTAAAATTATTCTAAGACAAACTTTGGAAAGCTAGAAAATTGCAAATATTTCGGCAATACTATCAAATTTTTACCACAAACTATCCTGTCTAAGGTGGAAACTTGTGAGACATAAAAAGAAACTTATATATATATTTTTTTTTTATTAATCTGTATTAATTAAAACCTGTTAAAGCAGAAACTTAAACAAGTATTGAATTAAAAACTCTGAGACACAAAGACATCAGAAATGAAATTAATCTATTGGTACTTATTTAACATCATGCTATGATGTTAAATAAGTACCAATAGATTTGATTTCATTCAAAACATTTTCTTCTTTGAAGGAGGTCATTAAAAATGACCAAAAATATTAAAGTATAATTAAAAGTATACTACATTTAAAGGTATTAGTGTGATGATACTGTTTTGTTTTTTATATAAGATTATAAATACATAAAAATCCACATTTTGTACTTTATAATATATAAAATTATAAAATAATAATGTATGTTATAAAAAATTACAGAAAAGTAATGCAAAAACATATTGAAGTCTTCATATCTCTTTCCAATTGTCAAAATACTATCAGTACCAGTAGAGTCAATCTATTCTTTATGGGCTCTTCTTCATCTATAAATTTTACTGTTACTAATTAATTCATTTCTAATTTAATTATTTAACAATTTCTTGTGTTTTGAAAAAATTAATTTTCATTCCTTTAGCAGATACCGCTTAGAAGAAGATATAATGCATTTGATGATCAATCTGATGAAAGTGAGACTTCAAGTGTATGTTCTGATAGATCTTTTAGTTCATTTGGTAGAAACATAGATGTAAGTACAATGTATAATTAATATATTTATTTATAAATATAAGATTTTTATAGATTTATAATCAAATTTTTTAAATATTCCAGGATGTTTCAGAGATAATACATAATTTATGCAGCATACATTGGTCTGAGAGGAAAGAAGGACTTTTAGGTTTGCAGGCATTTTTACGTTCTTCGCGGATGCTTTCTCTTGGCGAATTAAAGAGAGTTACAGATATTTTTACAAAATTGTTTATGGATCCTCACACTAAGGTAATAATATATTTTCAGTATTCAATAAGTACAATTCAAATTTTTGTCACAATATATTTAAATTACATAACTGTTCTTTAAATTTAAATTATAAATATTCAAATGTTCTTTAGTGTCACTATGTACACAGTTGGGTTGCATTTATAGGCTAAACTGGCTTTTAATTGTTTGGTTATAATCTTGTAAGTTGTACCCAATCTGGAATCGTAGTCAACTACTGTGTTTACGATTTTGATTTTAGTTTGTAGTTGCTCTAATTGCTAAAATGCATTGCTCTAATATCAAAGACATTATGCAAGAGTTAGAACCTATAAAATTATCACAATAGATCATGGTTACAGTGGCAAACTAATACCCACATTAGCACATACCATAGAAGAGAACCTTAAGAAAGTATTGGCTAGGAACATAGGAATGCAACTACAAAAAAAAATTCAAAATTGTAAATGCATAGTAGTTGACTATGGCCCCAGATTGAGTACAACTTACAAGATTATAACTAAACAATTAAATGTCAGTTTGTGCCACTATGTTTTGTTGTTGAATTAATTTTTAATAATCAAATAATAGCCTATAGCTGGATTTTCATCAGGATACAATACTGCTAATTTTTAAGATGGTAAGTAATTTGGAATAGAGGTGGGTAGTTAAGATGCCATTTTGGGTTAAATTTTATCATTAGAAATAAATTAATTTTAATTTAGAATACTTTGGAAGAAAAGATTGTCTGGAGGTGACTTGAACCCAAAACTCTTGCTTATTGTGCAGCACCTGTTAATTATTAAACTTGAACTTCTGTCCAGTCTTCCAGATTTAATGACTAAGTCTAACATGAGCTTAACTGACTACATCTACTCCAAATTACTTAATATCTTAATCATCAACTAGTTATATTGTAGCTCAATAAGAATCCAATTGTATCATTTGATTACTAACATATATCAGGTTTTATTTTATATGTCATTTTTTATTTCTGTAAAATTTTAATACATTACTATAATAATTCAAAACAGTCAGCAATTACTTTAACAATATTAGTTTAATCATGTGTTCTAAAGTTGTCAAATATATTTTAATGTACTTTACAGATAACTGTTAAAGTTTATATTATTAAATATATTGTCATTATCATTTAGGTTTTTACATTATTTTTGGATACATTGCACGAATTAATACATGTACATAGAATGGATCTCCAAGGTTGGTTATATATACTTATGACTAGATTATTTGTTAAAACTGGGACAGACCTTCTTGGTTCTGTACAGAACAAAATTCAAAAAACACTTGACTTGGTCAGGTACAGTAAAGTTTTAACAATAATATTTATCAGTTACACATCTTTAAGGTTTACTCATAATAATTTTTCCTCTTCAGAGATTCTTTTCCATGTGATGAACAATTTAATGTTGTTATGAGATTCTTGAATGATCAAACACAAACTCCTAATTTAAGGGTAAGAAAGACTGATGAAGTGATTGTTAATTTAATTTTTATAAGTGTATTTGTACTAAAACAGCTTTTTCTGAACTTAGGTAAAGTTATCTCTACTTAATTACCTTCATTCATTGCTTCGGATAATGGATCCGAGTGAATTTTCTAGTTCTAGCACAGAAACAAAATTGGCTATCACAAAAATAATTACTTGGACGGCAGATCCAAAAAGCAGTGAATTAAGAAAGGTAAAACCATATTTCAAAATTAATGTAAATTATATTATTTCTGCATTTTTTTTTTAATGTATGAATTTCTAAAATTAATTGTGATTAATTTCTATGCTGTTTTGTTTTGTTTTAGTGTGCCCAAGAAGTAATAATTGCCACATTTAATTTAAACAGTCCAGAATTTTCTATATTGCTCACTCATATTCCTAAAAATTTGCAGGTAATCTTTATTTTAATAATTGTATAAAATAAATACATGTAATAGTTTTAACTGAATAGTAATTTTTAAAATTCTGTTTATTTTAGGATAGTGCTTTTAGATTGTTGAATTCTCAATTGAGGAGGCACAGTAATGTCGAAAGCTCCTCTTTTAGCCTTCATAGTCCACCGAGTCCTATTGTATCATATTTGCAATCTTCTAACAACATTGGAAGGTAAGAATTTGAGTCACTAAAATACAATTAATCTCTCTTTGTATTCAGGAAGATTACTATTGTTATCTTAATAATTTATGAACATATAAGAATACATAGAAGCTACTATATATTAATGAAAAGTAAAGACGCATAGAGATACTGTAGTAATATTTCAAAAACTATTTATAGCCTACAAGCAAAGATAAAGAAATGCAATTTTAAAAAAATTTTTAATTAGTAAGATGTTTTGATGATCTACAGTTAAAAATGATAAACTTTGTGTAAGATGATAAACTTTTCCATATTGAAAAAAGTTCATAAATTTACAAAAGGAAATATTTTAAAAACTAGTAGTCATGCTGCTAATATATGGAACCAACTATGCTGCCGTTATCATTGGAATAGGAATCATTTTCATCTGAAACAGCTATAAACATGAAAGTATTTAATAAATATATTAACTACAGTAGAATCTGATATTAATGGATCACGGAACAACAGATTTCTCGCTATAAAGGATTTTTTTTTCTAGATCCTGCCAAATCAATGTAATTTTACCTCTTTTTATCGAATCCCTAACTTGGAACAACAGATTTTTTTTCTAGCCCCCATGTATTGTAAACATTGTGTTTTTTTTTCAATGTTAATTAATATTTGGGTGTTTCTGGGAATCTATAGAATTTGATGATGCACCTGCTAATCTGGGATATGTACAATCTGTATAAAAAGCAACAATTCTATTGTTTGAAAAATTGTATAGAGAGTTAGCAGGCCAATATGATTGAGGAGAAGCCACCTAGTGAACATTGACTCTGGTCCAAGTGTGGTGCTGAAATTTAGAGAGGCCAAAGTGCTTTCCAAGTCTTGAAAAACCTTCCTAACACATTTCAGCATAAATGTATAGGCTATACAGTAGATGACATTGCTAATATCAGGATGTTGTATTCAATAGGCAGAAAAGTGGCATCAAAACAAATCAAGATAGACGCATTTTTAACAAATCATGAAGTCAAGTAAAGTGCTAACAAGCACACAGGTGTAATTTGACTCTTTTTGTGCTTATAGTATATACCGTATCTGCCAGCTTTGTTGTACACATACACTGCATAATATATGTTCTTGTAACATATAGTCTGCACAACTAGAGTTAGCCCTTGATTTGGTTCATTTTAGTGTCTTTAAGGCGTGATAGAACTGTTTATGAATGCATATTAATTTACTGTTAAGTTTTTAAGTAATAATGAAAGTGTTCATTTTTGGAGGAAGGAAATAAGTACAGTACAGAAATACATTAATATATTGTATGTAGAACTGTAGCAGTGTTTTCTCTGTTTGTGGGGAAGTTTCTTTTCATTGTAATAATTTATTTATACCCTTTTATTTAAAAAAATTCATTTTGTTGTAAAGTGTTTTTCTTTATAGAATAATTTGTTATACAGTTTTCAAAGCTGTATTAAAATACATTGCCTCAACCAAGTCATGATTATCTTAAAAAACTTAAGTACTTGCTTACTCATATACAGAGTAACATTTTCAATCCTTCTCTCTAGATCTTCATCAAATCTACGATTTTTTAGAATCAGAATGTACTGGAGTTTTATATTAGAAGGTACTTTGAAGAATTTTTAATACTGTTGCTCCAGTCTGAAATAATTGAGAGTAAAACATGATTATCTTTTCATTATAAGATGATTTCTGTTATAAAGAGCTTTGACTATCATTCTTTTAATAATCTCCAAGTAAAGGTTGGAAGAGTTTTTGTTGCATGAGTGTAAGATTGTTCCTGACTTATAATAATAAAATTAAATCTCTTACAAAATTTCTTACAAAATAAAATCTCTTACAAAATTTAAACTTATGCTAACTCAAAACTAAATATTTATTTTAAAGTTTGTAATATATTAAATATAACAGTTTTCATACCTAATTCAAATATCAGAATAATAATTATATTATAATTTAATTCAGAAAAATATTAAAGAAAATATTTGTTGAAGGAAAGAAATATTTATCTTATTTACAGTAGGAAATATCTGACAATGGATCTCCTCCCTGAGCATTAACAATAAAACTCTGAACAAATACATAAAACATTGGATAAAATTTAAGTTAGAATAAATGCTTACCTAAATTAGTTTCTGGGCTGCAATTTGAAAAAATTGTAGATCTATAAATTCCCACTGTTGTCTGTTTGTCCATCTGTCTTTCCTTAATCTTGAGATCAGAGTTAGATATATGAAAGCTGAGACCAGATATGGGAAGATGAGGGGCAGGAGGCTTGATTAACTATATTTGAACTGATACAAACTGGAAATGTTATTTCAATTAAGAAATTTTCCACTGAAAGGAGTTATATAGATACGTCACACTAACCTTGTATAGTTTTACAGTTACTATTTAAAAATGTAACACAAACATTTTCGACCAGATCATGCGAGTTATATAGATGAATGGCAATATTCTATTGCTAGAGGAACAAGACACTACTAATTTGAGGTGGAGAGCATATATATTAAATTAAAAAATTATTAAAAATATGACTAAAAATTGCAGCCTGGCATTGTGACAATGACAATAAATAATTGCTCATTTTTATATGTAAATTTGTTATTAGCATAATCACAGATGTATTAAAGTGTCAATTTTAAGTATTTTTAACTAGCTGCAAGGACCCGCTTTGCTGGGTTTTTATTTGTTCGTACATTTGTATGTAATATAGTTTTTTATATATATAAAAGACTTTTTTCTAAGTAATCTAGAATCTAGCTGCAAGGACCTGCTTCACTGGGTTTTTATTTGTGGGCAAAAAGTAACGATAGTGAAGATTAAGATAATTACATTATAGCTAATCTTACCCGTTTTCACAGAATGCAAGAATTAGGTCCCCCGTTTCCAGACTAATTAGAGAATTTTTACGTTTAGTCAAACGAACTATTTTCAACGTTTCTGGAACGTTTACAATCGTTCTATAATCAAACCAATATTCGAATTTTATGTTCGAATTTAATTTGAACAAATTCGAACAAAACATTTGAAATAGAAAGCCACTTTCAACCACTTTCAGCCTCATATCTCCCACACCCTTATAGCTATTGAGACGCGACCACCCCTATGCACAGATGGAGACTTGGGGCTACCACCACATACAAACACCATTCACATGCGATGTGTAGTTTTTGCGGAAAAGTGAAATATAGGGACACACACACGTCCATTTTTATATATATATAGATATATAAGAATAATGTAATGTTTTTTTTTTTTTTATAGAGTTCCTCTTAGAACAAGTACACCGCAGACTCGTTCCTTTGATTTAGATGATACAGAAAATATGAATCCAGAAGAAATTTACAATTCACTGAAACAAACTTCAGCAGAAATCCAAAAATATAGTTTAGGTAGTCTTGATCACGATTACTATGAAAACTGTCGAAAATTAAATGAGAGGTCGCGAGATAGTCTCTCCACCGACTCCAGTCAAAATGTTGATGGAAAACTAGATACTTTAGAAGAGCGAATAGAAATGTTTTCGAGTAACGATTCGTCGCCAGCTAAGAGATCACCGTTAAGCTATCAGAATCTCATGTTTCACGATCAAGTAGGTTATTTCTTTATTTTAACTGCTGTTCTATAAGATAAACTAACCAGAATCATTAAGAATTTAATATTGAAATTATTTTAATTAGGACAGTAGAAATGGTTTCGATAAACCCAGTATCTTTGGAAGTAATGATATAGAAGGTTTGTAAATTATTTCTTTAGCATTGTTTTTAAAGAATTATTTTATTATGAATAAAAGGATTTATTACAAATTGTTTTAAATGATTATTTAGGACACGATGCAGCTTTTCAGTACATTATAACAGAACTCAACTATCACAATACAAGGTGAATATTTTATTTTTATAAACTATAAATGAAAAATTTAATGATATATAAATTAATTACTATCAAAATAATTAATTTCCAGAAATGAACAACGGCAACAAGCACTTTCTCAATTGGTTTACTTGGCAAGAGAAGGCTCGCCTTTATGGGAAGAAAACTTCCGTAACATTCTTAGACTGCTGATGGAAACTATTGGAGATCAAAATGTAAGATGTACTTGAGAGTTAAATATTAAAATAACTGTAAAGGAAAGAATATAAATATGAGATTTTCTAATAATTTATTTACTTTATGATAATTTGTAGGGGTCCATTAGAGCTATGGCTGTGAAAGCTTTATGTGAATTGCTGAAAAGACAATCTCAGTGGTTTCAAGATTATGTAGAATTTACTATTTTAAAAATTTTAGAAGCTCACAAAGATGAAGAAAAAGAAGTAAGTTTTGTTAATGAAGTACTTTTTTTAATATATTAATGTATACATAATATAAGTAAAAATTAATTGTATTCTTTAGGTTTCAAGGGCAGCTGAAATATGTTCAGCAATTGCTGCTAATGTACTTCCTCCTGAGCAGTGCTTCAGAACTTTAAAACCAATCATCATGACTGGAGAATTTCCAATGAATCAGGCTGCTATCAAAATGCTTACAAAGGTAAAATTTTGTTTTCATTATTTCATAATTAAATTAGTATTTTATAATAAATATTCTTATGTTTAGAGCATAGCATATTATTGTTTAAAGAGGGAAGATTAACGTAAAGATAGGTTAGAATTTGAGAGAAATATATATAAAAATGTCAGTAATAAGTACAGTTTCTGGAGAGTCAGAATCGTTTGTAATTAAAATGATCTAAATCAAGATTTAACTTTTTAGTTCTTTCCTGTTTGGGTTCACTTTAACATTTATTCAGGGAAAAACAAGAGTTTTCCATCATGCATATGGTGCATTACTTTTATTGCATTATTTATGGTAAAATTAATTTATTCAAAAAAAGTATATTTGTAAATAGTGCAATAGTTTCAAGGTAATGCAAGCATTTTTCTCTCTCCTGAGCATAAGGATAACAGAAAAGAATCATTTTAAAATGATTTAGCATAATACATAAGGAATCTCTGGCTGTAAGAGATAAAAGTCAACATTGCCTAAATTAATACAAAAACATTTAGATTTATTTTGTTATGGTGTATGTTCAAAACGACTGTGACCTGGGGAAATACAAAGGTGTAGATATTAGAATGGTGTTACAGGTGACATGTAGCATACCTAGTGTCGCTGTCCTATAAGCCTCTTGTATTTACATCTTTGGCTCTCTAATGCCACATGGTGCTGCTAGATATGCATTGTAAATTGATTTTTTTATGCAATCCCTATAGGAAAAACTCTAGTTGGGTGAAGTCTGGAGAACATAATGGGCATGAAATTAGACTACATTGTCCTATGAAACTGCTATGTGAGCCACTGATACACATTTGTCCAGGAATTAGCTTGTGTGGCATACTACTGTAGCAAACTGGCCATAGTTGCTTCAGTAGAAAGTCATCTAGCTATTTGTCCACTATCAAGATTAAGACTGTGGTCATTAGTCAGGATTTCATTGAATATGAAACCAAAAACTTACTCGTTGCGGATGCCATACTAGACATTATGTGAAAGATATATGATGTATTTTGCATTGAGCATTCTGTGTTCAGTGGTGCATAATACAGCATTTACACATTTTATTCTGGGAAAAAATGCCTTATCAGTCCATAAAATGTGCTCAAGCATTTGTGGTTTGTTTTGGCATAAATTTAATATCGTTGTACCAGTTGCAGGTAACAGCTGAAAGAGTGTGTAAAATTCAATGAACAAATTCAAGTCATCAAAATGTGATGAATATCGAATATAGAGGTTCCAGTGGAACCTCTATATTCGTAATATTCGATATTCATCACATTTTGATGACTTTTTTTATTTTTCCATATTCTTCAGTATTTTCTGTATTCATCATCATTCCCAACACTGGAAGTGGCACTACAATGGCACGCCCATGCTGATCAGCTAGCCATGTTAGCTAGCTTTAGTTAATCAATCTGCTTTGTGTGGTCATCGTGTGTGTTGTTGAGTTATTGAAAAATTATCAATGTGAGAAACCAAGTTCCAGTTGCTCCAAAGGTGCACCCAAATGTTTGCTATAGTCAACCAAAATACAAATACATTTAATGATAATGTAATTGCCTCCTTCAGAAATGTTTTCAAAAGCAGATACAAACACACAACACTGGACAAGTTCTCTATTAAATCGAGTGCTACTGAATCATCAGCAAAACAGACCCCAAGATCATAATTGGAATTACCTAATGTTTTAATTGATATGTCTTCTTCTAAACAATTATACTATATTTATAATACTGTTCTTCCCCTTCTACCACTATACTATATTTATTTAGTACAATAAAGATAAAGTTTTACAAACAACATAATTTTTATTCTTGTACCTTTCTTTCAGGATGGGAATGGATTAATTGAATATCAGTTATTTATTATGAGAAAAATTGTTTCTATATTTGTCATATTCCATATTCGTTAGGTCCTTAGGAACAGAGTAATGATGAATATAGAGGTTCCACTGTATTTGTGACTGCTGCAGTCTACATTGCCTTGCTACTTCATAACTTATTTCTGCACAAATAAAACTTTTATATGTAAAAATTGCTTGATTTCTCATTTTTGAAACATGCCCTGAATTGCTTATAAGAATATGTGGAAATGTATATGCTTGTATATGAATATTAATGGAAGCTATGCCAAAACTTTAATGTTGTAAAGAAAAGGGCAACCTGGACTATGATCTGTAACTATACTACAAGTTTGCTTAAAGTGGCTTATGTTCAGAATTAGCATATGCATATGTCTTGGTACAGTTTCAAGCTTGATGCTACTGTTTGTGCATTTTCTGAAGTTTTCATAATGTATAATCATTTCACAGTAGTGTTCAAGAGTATAAGGCTTTGTTGCAGTACTAAAACAATTAGCAAAATGAAAGGTGTTAGCTCTTTTAGTGCACAAGAATAATATGAATCAGTGTTAAAGAATATAAGTTAAATGTCAATTTTGGTGTGGAAAATATAAAGATACTGAACTTCTGATGACAAACATTTGAAATTTCTGTTTTTTATAGGATTTCTGTTGATGATATCACAAATTATTACAATAATTCATTTTTTTGTGTTTTTTGTTTTGTTTATCATGAGTCATGCCAATCTTTTCATGATTGCAGTAATGAAAATATATATTTTATCAATTTTTCTTTTTGATAGTTTTAAAAACCCAGATTTTGGAAAATAATTGTTGAGTTATGAAGTAAATGGTAACCATAAAACAATCCAAAATCATTAAATTCATCATATTTCTGCATCTTTTCAGCTTGTTGAACAGCAACCGAAGAACATAACAGCACACCTACTTCCCGAGATAATGCCTCCACTTCTTAAAGTGAGATGATTATTATGTTTTTTTTTATGTTGTATACATTTAATTTGACATTAAAAAATTAAAACAACTTATATTTTACAATAATTAACAGCAAATTTATAATGGTTAATTTCAGGCATATGATAATACAGAAAGTTCGGTGAGAAAAGGTGCAGTATTTTGTATGGTTGCTATTCATTGTGCTGTAGGAGAAGTCATGAAGTCGCATTTAACATCATTAAATGGTAGCAAGGTTAGTTTCATTTTGAACTTAATAATTTAAATATTAAACCAAATAATCTGCAAGTTTAAGGTTGTTTGATAATACTAGTGCGTTAATAATATGTTTTTAATAATGTGCATTAGTAATATGTTAATAGATACAGCCTCTAATATTCAACATGTACAGTTATGTTGAATATTAAAGGCTGTAAATATTAACATATTTTGTGTTTTGTCTAGTAAAGTTGCTTTAGTTAAGCTGCTGACGATTGCTTTAAAGTGATTTGTTTCTGAAGGAACTGCCTCTTTGCTGTTAATTTCTTTTTTCCAGAAGGCAGTTTTTTGAATCAGAAAGCAAGTTTTGTATGCAAAGCATTGCATTTTAATGAATTTGGTGATATTTTAGTGTCTGTGGAAATCATTCTATTATCCTCTAAATAGGCTGTTGATGAAATTGATGCCTAAAAGATTTTTTTTGAAAAGCTTGTTGCCAGTGATGAGTGCATTATGTTAGTGCTATATTAGTGAGGATATTACTGATAGTGTTATAGACTGTTAGCAGTATATATGAGTTGTATACTTACAGTAATTTGTTGTGCCTTTAGACTCATTAATCAGTCACTCAACACTCCTTTCATACTAATATTTTAAAAATAGTTTTGTTATGTTAAAGGAAATACATATCCTTTTTATATGATTTTGATATACAGTATTTCAAGATTAGAGAGAACAATTTTAAGTAAAGATAAGTAATAAAAACACATTATTAATGCAAATAGGTATTAAAATTTTATATTTGTTTTCTTGCATCACATTGTATTACTTCATACATGAAGATAAGTTACTGATAGAATGAAATTTGTATCTCAAATGATTTAAAAAACATGTTTTAAATTTAATAGAATAATCATTGATATGTTGTTTTGATTTATTTTTATTTGCATAATAATAATATCATTAAACAGTAAAAATCAAAAATTGTTCCTTTCAGATGAAGTTATTGAATCTCTACATCAAAAGAGCTCAGTCGCAGACTAGCACTCCCGCCAGTTCTCCAAGTTCACCAGCCAATGCACCATCATCGTCTTCAAGTAGTCACTAATGTGAAATGCATCCTGCAGTGTTTACTTGAGGCATTGCTAAATAGCGTTTTCACCCATGTTGGACGACGGAGATTATGGTCCGCCGAGAAATTCCGGTATTTCCGGTAATCTTTGGCATAATATTTTGACGGATTGTGTCGCGTGGATGCAAAGAAAATATGATGCTCGTTTCCAAAACTCCGAGCGTAGCTTTGTTGCAATAACGTAATCAGGACCAAGAAAATTTCTTTCTTCATTCCAGTTCTGCGGAGGGAAAACAATGACGATAAGGAGAGTGCCTCTCGCATCATGAAAACTAAAATTTTTTTTATGTCTCCTTTTGCAACAGACTGCAATCTCACATCAAACACCCGTCTTAAAATCAAATAGGATTTTTCAAAATAAAGTCACCTTCATCTTTAAGGAAAAATGAAACATTTTTTTGTAGAGATACATTTTCGATTTAGAAGGATAAGGATTTACCGTTGTACAATCTACGAAACTTGTGTTTACTCATTTGTTATAAAAGAAGTTTATCCATCAGTGGTAGCTAATTGTGATCAAAGTTTGTCGAGTGCTATAGTGTTTATTATTATTTTTTTAAGGTACTTTTTAAACACTGTGGGTAGTAATTCTTTGTTTAAAGATATATTTTGGAAGTGCTAACATTTGCCATCAATTTATTTGCACCTAGTGTAAGGAAATGAAGCACATCACATAATTTTATTATTAATTCATTTTTGTGTATATTGTACATTTCCTTACATAATAAATTTTTTTGTCTAGATGTGACAAAATTTCTTTTTACTTAAAAAGATTTTTTATATAACTGTGATTAATTAAATAAACAATTTCAAAGAAAGTGGAAATTTTGAAATTATTCCAAAGCATGTGAATATACTCAAAACACATACAGTAATGAAGTTTATTTTTTAAAAGTGCATGCTTTATTTGAAATTAGTTTATTCAATTTTAGAAATATTTCTGAATTCTCATCTTTTAATTATTATGAATTATTATTATTATTATTATTTTTGTGTACATAATTTGAATATTTATTTTATTATTAATTAGAATTACAAACAAAGAGGCTGTCCATAAGTTGTGACACAGATTGGGCAGGTGGGTATGCAGGTAAATTCTTACAATGGTATACAAGGAATGGAGTGTTTACAAAGACATTATGTAATGCTAGGGTCTCAATTAAAGGTTTTTGAGACCCTAGCATTATGTGACAGAATGATTAATTTTTGTTTCTGATGTACACTTTTGGCAACATTGTCAATATTGTTGTGCGGTGTTTCTCATTACATTTCCTGAGAGTCCAAGAAATTGTCGTGACAATTGAAGTTTGCCATAGGAAAGGAGCTTACGATTCCAAATCATCATTATCACAGTCAAAAGATAAATTGATCAAGCACCATCAATCAATGAGGCTGTTATATTAGAGCTTTCATATAATGTGACACAGAAAAACCATCCAGATTTCCGAAAAGAAGCAGGTCATTGTTATTATTTAACATGAAAACACACAGAAAATCCTGAAGTTAATACAGTAAATGTCACATATTTGTGTTCAACTTAATCAGCATCTGTTAAAATTTGCTGCAAGTGTAAAGAGTAATTTGGCTCAGTTGCCTGAGCCAAATTACTCTTTACACTTGCAGCAAATTTGATTGAATGGATTATTGTGATGTTTATGCTGTACCTATTGTTTCCTTAAACATAATAATATTTATAAGGAAATATTAATCTTTTCCCACACTTATTTATTACCAATAATTATTTGTGCTAATAACTTGAATGAGCTTGAAAATAAGACACCTTATACATTTCCATCAAGCAGCTTACTGTACAGCAGCAATGCAAAACCTTTCAATTGCAGGCAAAATTGTGCTTAAGCTGAAGATGGGTGGGCCAGAAATATCTTGTATATTTTGTACATACAAAAAGTAGACTTATTTATAAGTAATGTGTCAAATACATTTGTGGCCTGGATTAATGTGCTTGGATAATGGAGCTGTAGTTTAGACACTACTGTTACAGAGAGTTATCCAAAGGTAGGTAGTATTTCATGCTATATTACTATTTTACTACTACCAACTTTGTCTTGAAGATATAAATAATTAACTTTGGAGTATATAATATATCCTGCTTGGTATCAACTGCATCTAAATATCTTGTTATTACAAGGGTTAATGTTTTAAATGCTTTTGAGACCACGTTACAAAGCAGCATTAAAATGAATTTAGATACTGAAAAATATGGAAAATACTGTTTTGTGGCATTTCTACTGTTCTGATTTATCATTACTTAGCAAAACTTAATAAATTTGATTATTTAAAAAATTTTTTCCTGTATATAAAAAAAATTGATTTCTAACTAATGGTGCATTGTAGAATCCAGGAAATATGGTATTATTTGCTGAAAAACATTACAATAAGTATACAAAGTCTTCAAAAAGAATGTTACCATTTTAAATTATTGCAATTATGTTAATTATTGTCTGTATAATGTACAGTACATTAAAACAGTGGAACACTACAAATTTCACATTTTTTCCTATTACAATTTCTCAATGTATGTACTGTACCTCATGTCACACAGCATCCAACTGATACTCAAATCTTCATATGCTTGCTATGGGATATTCATTCTTACTCCTCCCACAGCAGCCACAATTGTACTGCTCCTGCAGAATGCAAAATGAAATGTCTTCTCTACAGGAAGTTGCCCTTCCTACATATAGTTGACGACAAGATGTTCCAATGCAGATGGGAGACAAGACTCAGACAGTTACTCTATCGATTGGTGTAAACTGCATACGTCTCAGATAATAATTAACATAATTACTATGATTTAAAATGGTAGCATTTTTGTTTTATGAACAGATATTCAATGTAAATTTCATGATGAATCAGTTTAATGGAATCTATGGAATGAAATGCATCTTTATAAAAATTAGAAACCTCAAATAGCTGAATCACATTCTGATAAAACACTTTCTGTATTTATTTTCATTGTTAGAGAGATTATAACAAAATACTGATAGAGCTGTAAAATCAACCTGGTATCTATCTGTGACAGAGCCGTAACTTCTGTTGTTAATATAATTCCTGCTAACTCATGAATAGAATACATATTTAATCATTAATGCATTGGATGATTCAGGGTCATGACACAATACAGTTACCAAGGTAGATTCGAAATTACTTTCTGTGAGTCTTCATGAGGAATTCAACTAACTTGTAAGTGGAGAAAGGTAGAATTTAGTTTCATAAATCATTATAATATATTGTGATATTGTTATAACCATAATAAGCATCATCATTAATATGGTTGACACTTTAAGAGAAAGATAAAAATTTGAAAATATTTCAGATTTTATGTAATAAAATGTGAAAAATAAATTCTAAATTACATATTTTATTAATGCCCAATTATTTATTAGAGTTCGTATTAGAAATTTTCGAGTAACAAATTCAAAACGTCGAAGCACTCATTTTGAAAACCAATATTGATTTTGAAATGATCTCAACGTTGTTACGAACCTGGTTATTGGCCCTATGACAAACAGAGAAATTTGCATTCATGGGATAATTGGCAAGTGGCTTGTGTTTCACAATTAAATCACTATTAAATTGATTCATATTAATTCTCAAATCTATTTCTGGATAATGTATGGCACCCACTCGATAAAACCTAATTTAATTTAATAAGCCGTTATATTCGATACGATGTGTTTATATATAAATAACCTAAACACGTTAGCGTCTAGTACCAGTCGACTCCCCTATAACACTGTTGATTATTCCGTTTTATATGGATTCCATGTTGTACGAGTCACTTATATTTTACAAATACGTGTGCCGGGTTGTGAACGGCTCATGTATTTGTAAAATCTAAGTGACTCGTACAACATGGAATTCATATAAAACGGAATAATCAACAGTGTTATGAGAGGTCGACTGTACTTTGACGCGATGTAAGTTGTTGTGTCTTACAAAGACAATCACTTCGTTCTCTTTCCATCAATATAAAGACATTAACTATTATTTTATATCTAAATGAACGAATATCGCGTATTTGTTGGTATTTTATATATCCTTTGCGTTAGATGTGTTCTTAATGCAGAAGTAAACTATTGTATTTTTTATCCTCTCGCGCTCGTTCAGAAAATTTGTCATTGAAATCCTACGTGATGATTTCTAATATCTACTAAACAAGACGATTGCTTATCCTACCGATATTCAATACACAAACTACCAAAAACAATTGAATAGAATGGATTTTTATTCAGAACGATTGGTTTAAATCATTTAAAGATACAATTAAATTAAATCCACTATAATTATAAGAATCAAACAAAAAATTATTATTTCAAAAAATTCTTTTTGAAGATATTTATTAATTAACTAGGCATTTTATTTAGGGCCAAGGGACATCATGAAAGAACACGTGTCTTCTGATGTCCGATTCTTGAAGACGTTTGTCTGGATCCTGAAATGACAAACCACGATAAAGATTAATTACAATAGTTGGCACTGTTTTCATTTTTATTTGTAAACACTAGTGAATTTGTATTGCAGTAAGTTACTCAGCTCGTGATTACTAACTGAAATTTAATTATCATAAAAACATTGACCACCCTCGATTAAAAACGAACTCAATTAGTTAAACACATTTTCTACACAATTTGCTGATTATTTGTATATGTTATTAAATGAACGCGTTTGTTATTAACTACAAAAAAGTTATGAATTTCTCGTATAAAACAACGCAATACACTAATATTTAATACTTTGAGATTTAATGGAAAATAATTATGCAAACGAATGAGTCATATAAGAAAATACATTAACTACAATAAACATTTTAATCTTACTTTTTCCAGTAAATCGTCCATTACGTCCATTGCATGTATCGACATATGCAAAAAATACTGCACCCGGACGTTTCGAGCGACTGAAAAGACATTGTTACATTAGTCACTCGTTTTCTCTTTTTGCCGTTAACAAACTAAAAATTATCATCGCTTACTTTTTATTATCTCCATATAGGACATATTGTCAATATTCGGGACTTTTTCTAAATGCATCTCCATCGGCGTTTTTCCTATTAACATTTGGTATAAGAGAATTCCGAATGCCCACCAATCGCAGTAAGCGTCTAAAATGAATGCATATTACTGTATTAATAATTACAAGACTTAAACAAAGTGATGTGATTAAATTGGAATAGAACAACTTACCATACGGTTTTCCCTCGAGGATTTCTGGACAAAGATATAAGAAAGTGCCGTAAAATTGTTTCGGATTTCGTTCATACTGACAGAAAGATAATCGGTTAATGAGAAATCAACACTTGTACGAAAATTAAGATAATATTTTACACACTACTTACTGTGCAGAGACCGAAATCAATCAGTTGCGCTCCTTTCGACTTATCTAGCATGACGTTATTCGACCCGATGTCTCTGTGAATGATTCCTGTCGAAGACACAAACAAATTCATTATTCTGTGGTGGTGTGGAGGACAAAGGAAGGATGACAAAGAAGTAACCATAAAATCAAACAGGATATTTATTCAACTACAGCTACTTAGTCCTTCGTACACCTGGTTCGTTTACACTAAACACACTTGATCCCAAACTATAGTACGTGCACAAGTTCGAATCCGTCCGACAAAATTCTATATTTTCACAAATAGAACACGTGCTCGCGACAATAAAAAGATTATGGTTTAAGATACTACGACTACTTAAATCTACCTTAATCTAGCTTATATGCTAAGGAAGAAGGGTAAAGAAATTAAGAGATATGAAGAGAAGAGATAAGTATAAAGGACAGATTTTGTGGGGGTACCCGGGTAAACTTGGGAGTCTCCGATCTTCTCTATATTGGTACTTGAATTAACTCAATTTCCTTCCTCTTGATTCCGTCTCTTGAGAATTCGGGAGCGTTTTTTCTTGAGGTCTTATGGCTGGATGTCTTTCTAATTTTCGTCCGTTCGCAGACGACTTCCAAGCCTTCTCCGTTTGTCCCACTAGGCGACAAACCTCTAGCTTGCTCTTTCCTACGTCTGCACACCTCAGACGCTGACCCAAAAGTATCCAGTTCGTTCTCTCTGATGGCCTCAGGGCTTCTTAATGTCCCTTTTGTCTTCTCCCCTTTGTCCTTGGACAAAGGTCGTCCCCCACCCACAGAAAAGGAATAGGTTAGAAAGTTCTAGAAACACGTTAAAGACAAAGGAATTTAGGAGAAAATAAAATTTATATCTACCCCTATTTACAAAAACATGGCGTACCGCCACAATTCAATTTACATTTGTTAAAGAGACGAATGAATAAATAGATTTTAAAAATTACCTCGATCATGAATATACATTATGGCCGAAGCCACTTGAGCACCGATCATTTTGACTCGGGCTTCTTCGAAGGGTCCGTCATTTTCTAAACTATGAGTTATATCCTGTCCGTCCACAAAGTCGGAGACGAAACAGAAACTGAAGAAGACAATTATTATTACATAAAACCATAAAGTATTACTAATAAATCAAATGTAGAGTCAAAATTTACCTGGTATTTGTTTTGAAGAAACATATTAAAGAGACGATGTGGGGATGGCTCGATACGGTTGCCCACGCTTTTCGTTCTTTATTCAATTCGCGCCTCTATAAGTAAAGTCATTTTTTAAGTATATACTAGATACAAATTAAGAATATTCTGTAGACATTTGTAATTTATGTTTATACAACATTGGTTTATTTCCGCTTAGAGCATCATCAATAAATGATGTATGAATGCAGAGCCGTTACTAGGATTTTGGACGCCTATGGCCAAGAATAAAAATGACGCCTTTTTAATTTTTATTATTAAAAATAATAATAATAATTTTATTATAGTTATGTATTAATTAGTTATGTTTTAATGAAGGTGCCAATGGTGGGGGCCACATTGGCCATGTCCTAGTTACGGCTCTGTGTGAATGTAATGATTTTTTAATATCGAGAATAAACGTTTTATGTACTAACGACAGAATATGCTTATTAAATTATTTTATATTATATGGACTTGGTTGTCAAATAATTTTCTATTATTATAAGACCGAGAATATGAAAAACAAAGCTGAAAGCACACCTGTGCAAGACAAAAGCGCTTCTTCTCGACTGTTTTCAAAGCCACTTTTTGGTCAGAGTTTCTGGAGCGAGCCAAATAAACTGTTCCAAAAGCCCCCTTTCCAATTTCTTGAAATTCATAGTCATTAATAATGTCTTTATTCATTTTTGAAGAATCAACTCCGAACTGAGAATCTTCCGATTGACAATTCTAAAATCACAGAGTCATTTAATGGTAAACTCCGCTAAGTGAAGCATTAAGTGTATACCAAGAACGAGAACTTACCTGCGAATCGGAAGTCTCTGCTGTATTACAGCGACAACAACAGAATTTATAGAATACGTTTCTACAGAATTCTATAAATGTTCCTGTTTTCTTTAGATTCTTGCCATGGAACTGTGAATCCTCTTTTTTTACGGGGAGACACTTGGCTCCATGCAAATTTTCGTCAATCTAAGAAAAGTCAATAGTAAAAATCAACTACGCTTGAAACGTTATCGGAGAAAATATTTGAAAAAAATCATTAGAAAAGTCGTTATTAATTCAATATTAGTCACAAATGAGTTTGATTTTTCTAGAGAAAGACTTACATTAATGGGGTAATAATCTCTGTCTGGCTGACCATCCGGTACAGCGTTATCCTCTCTCCTGGAAAAAATTGATTAGTTTGTAATTAACATTAAATGAGTCTTAATAACAAATATAATGAGGATATTTACTTTTTCCTCTTTTCTTTATCACTCAACTTTCGCAAAAACATTTTTCTTACGCTTCGCAACATTTTCGCTTAGCAATTTCAACAATAGATTATTGTTAAAAGCAACTTATTGTTAAAGATTGTTGTAATTCATTATTATGAAATTACATTTAATATTTAATCACGTGATTAAATATATGAAATTACATTTGCGTATTAAAATGAGCTTTTGGAGAATTCTGTACAATGTCTCATCGCAGTTTTAATTGTAAATTTCTCTTTCGCTGCCATTAAACGAAAAGTTCAATATTTTGGATTTAAACGTCGGCCTGTCATAAAACTGCTTGAACATAACGAGAAATGAACATTATCCATTGATTAGGCATCAATCATAATCGCAGAACTTTAGGATGCCCATCAATCATAATCGCATAACGTCAGGATGGACGAGCGGTCTAAGGAGCCAGACTTAAGGTAGACACTTCCTCTAAAAGGGGGGTTCGTGCATTCTGGTCCACGATAGTGGGCGTGGGTTCGATCCCACTCCTGACACGAACTTTTCTTATGTGCGGTTGATTGAAAATGTGTATTTTAGTGTGAGTTAAGCTCCTGGAAGACATTTTGTAATTCGAAACAGTAATGCTAATTGGGTCAGAACTTTGCAACATATTGAATTCCGTTTTGAAAGCATCGGAAAAGTAGAGTAAACGTATCGAAACGTTGCAAAGCGTCGAGCAGAAACTCTGCACTTGCGTGAAGCACAGTTTCTGTTCTAAATTCAAAGCAAAAGAAGTTTCTGAATTCTACTGTCGCTGTCGCCTTCAATTGCATGAACGATGACAGGGCAAAGAAGGAAAACAGGCCCCACCGAGAATTTGAACTCGGGAACAGTTTGGCTTTTTGCCGGGAAGGAGTACGACTAATGCTATGTTTGCTCTAAAACAGCTGATGGAAAGGCACAGAGAAATGCAAGAAGGTTTGCGCATGGTGTTCATTGGTCTAGAAAAAACGTATGGTAGAGTACCAAGGCAAGAGATGTGGAGATGTTTGAGGGAAAAGAATGTTCCAGAAAAATATGTTAGGCTCCTCAAGGAAATGTACGAGGGAACAAAGACCCAAGTTAAGAGTAATGTGGTCACTACAGAAGGGTTCTTCGTTAATGTTGGTTTACATCAGGGATCGGCCCTTAGCCCTTATTTGTTTGACCTAATAATGGACGTGTTGGTGCTTAACGTGAAGTGTGAGGCTCCGTGGAGTATGCTGTTTGCGGATGATATTGTACTATGTGAACTTTCCCAAACAAAGGCTGAGAAGAAACTGGAAGATTGGAGGAAAGTTTTGGAAGAAAGAGAAATGAAGATTAGCACAACCAAAACAGCTTATATGACTCTGAATGGTAGAGACGAGTGAAATATTGAAATAAAAAATGTGCCGTTACCTTTTGTTTCGAGTTTTAAATATCTTGGGACATTTGTCGAGATGGGAGGAGGATTGAACTCGGAGGTACAGCATAAAATTTAATGTGGATGGCAGTGTTTTATGCTACAAGAAAGTGAGCTGCAATCTGAAAGGAAAATTGTATTAGTCAGTTATTAGACCTGCAATGTTGTATGGAGCGATGATATGAGCAATAACAAGAGCCCAAGAAAAAAAGATGGAGGTGGCGGAGATGAGAATGTTGAGATGGATGCGTGGAGTGTCGAGGAAGGATTGAATAAGGAATGATTTTATTAGAGGTTTTGTTAAGGTGGGCCCTTGAGCAAAAAATGCAAGAATGTAGATTGAAATGGTTGAGCCACGTAGCGATAATTAAGTTGGAAAGAAGATCGGAAAACTGTTAATAAAAAAAAAAAGAAAAAGATGAAGACCAAAGACGCGTTGGAAAGATAAGGTGGAAGAAGAGTTGAGCCAGAGGGGACTTCTGACAAACTTTATATTATGTAAAGTAAATTTTCAAAAGTATTTGCAAGAGATAATAAGAAGGTTCCTAAATGAAGGAAGTTATGCATCAAGTTAACAGTAATATGAATTCAAAATCTAATATTACGAAACGATTACGTTATTGATGTTTATATCAAAATATAAATTAATATCATATTACTGAACGTCGTTTAGTAAAATCTTTATAAAAAGTTTTAATTGGCATAAATTTAAGTTCTTGTAATTCTGAGTAACATTTTGAATAATGCAATTTTATTCTTATCAGCATAAAATTAAGCCGTAAAACTGAATTTAGCTTAATGGGGAAATTTCCGTGAACTTTGGCCTATCGTTTCGGAAGTTTTGCCATTACCTCACTGATAAGGAGAAAGGCTTAAGTTCAAAATTTGAGCTATTTAGACCCAGTAGTTTTTTCTCTACGAGCGTTTGCATTACCGGATGATGAAAAATGAGAATAAAATAGCATTTTTGGAGATTTTTGCAATCTTCAATTGTTCATATTTCGGCAAATGCTTTATACAAAATCTTGAAATTTTGCATACTATCTAAGAAAACAATTTTCCTTCGAATGAGAGGAGATGTTCGAAAGTACTACGTACAGTATCTAAGAATTCTTTATTGCATCGATACAACCCCCATTTTAAACTAAGCAAATAAAGTTACATAAAATTTGGACTATTTTTATGTTATTTACAATAATTTTATTTTATATTAAGATATATTTTACACAATTTAAAATAAATAATTACAATAAACTGTGTATAAAATTTAAAAAATAATAATAATAATAATAAGACTTGTCGTCGTATAAACACGTATACACAAGAATATATATTTATATATTCAAATATAAATTTTTCTTTAAAAAATCATTCGGATGCAACCGAATTATCAGAATCTTCGGCAAATTTCAAAGCAGTTTTATCAAAATTTGATCTCTGGTATGATTCTTTCTGAAGAATTGCCAAGACAACTCCGATGACCGTTGCTCCTATCAAACACCAATTCATCCAATTTGTACCTGTTACCAAGGATTTCCATTAGTAAAATAAATAAATATATTGTTATTATTAACTGTAAAATGTTTATACCTATGTTAGGAATTAAGAAAATTGCTAAAAATATCGATCCGAAAAAATTAACCAGAGTTTGCAACGTCACTCCTATCGTTCCTTCGGATATTGGGTAAGTTACTTCTGATGTTAATTCCATGTATAGTGGACCAGGAGAATATGACAATACTCCGATGATGATTACCACAGGATAAAGGATTTCTACAAATAATTTAGATAAGTATAAAAGACTATATATTCCTTAATGGCTTTACTTTATATATATATAGAGAGAGAGATATGCACCTAAAGATGCTGGAAGATAATGCTGATAAACTAGGGAATATACTATGCAATTGACGCATCCGATAGTCCACAAAATGACGAGAGTGAGTTTTATGTAACCTCCGACCAGATCGACAATCCTGCATATTATAAAATAAATAGCAATATTATAATATATAATATATATAATACAAAAGTAAATTAAATCTAAAAACATATTGTCTAAACAATAGGTGAGCGTGAGAGATTTTATTCTCATCATCACTTTTCTATCTTGAGTTCTCCTGTATTTATTTAATCGTATTTCCTCCAGGATATAGGATTAAATGCGAATATCTACATTGTATAGGATTAACAGGTATTACTCAGAAATACAGAAGAATATTGTAAACACAAACTTATTACCCATTCTCCTAGCGAATATGTTATTGAGTAGTGTACGATTAAGCCACTGATTGTTATTTAGTGGACCTTACGCCAATATATTATAATGATATAAATCTAGAAAATGTATTATAAAAACACCATTTTTATAGAATTCAAATTGAAAATAACTGATGAAGAATCTATGAAAATGGGTTTGGCTTATTGCAAGTGAATAGATGTATAATGCATCTTTATGGTAGTTCCCATAGAAACTTTCTCATCCCTAAGAGCAGAATGAATAATGATGAGAGCCGCAATTCGAATGCATATGGAATACAGTATTGCATCAATACAAAAAGATACACTTCAATCATTTTTATGATCGCAGGGTAGGGCACGTGCTCTGTTTACTCCCCTCTGTGGATGCCCATGCTATCAGTATACAGTTTAATTTATAGCGAAGTAATAATGAAAATAATAGTATTACCTTGCCATGAAAAGAGAAAGGATGCAACCGATTAATGTTGCGAATGTGGCCATTCTACTGGATTCATTCTACAGATAAAAAAAAATAAAATAAAATATTAAATTTCTTTTATAGATTCTCGTAATTAAGGATGCTTTACTTAATACTACAAATAATTTTTTATACTTTAAATATGTCACACCTCATGGGGGAGGTAGTTCAGAATGTGATACAATGTGACAAGGAGAGGGTCACTTTTCGCATTTACCATTAATCAGTATCATATATTACGTTAAATTTACATAAGAACAATAAATGTGTATAATACAGTGATTAGTAACACATTATAAACTGTTATCTCTGTTTAGTAGTGTAGAATTTATATTTAAATAATACAGATTCTGATGATGTAGACACAAGACACCAACATTTCCATTGTGTCAATTAACAAAATTAACGCAGTGTATTTAGTATAATAATTCAACAGACAACGTGGCAAAGAATGAAAGGGAAGAGGCTAAAAATATGAAAATTTAGTGTGGCATCATTTATGGACGGCCCTTATGTTTCAAGAATAGAAGATAATCTAATATATATTGTAAGAAAATCTTACCTGTGTGATATTTAACGATTCTAACGCAACCCCTAACATGCTAATCCAGTTAGCAAATGTCGAGTTAGTAATGGCATAACCCAAAGATATAATCCAGAAATTTGTATTTCTGTAAAGTAAATGTACAAATATAAAATGAATTAAGTAAACAAACAGCTACAGTATAATTAATACACATAAATTTAATTATACAAACTTTCTTAGAAGTTTAAAGGAAGTGATGAAGTCCAGCCTATCCAAATGAGCCGAAGCAGTAGGAGGTAGGGGAGGTTTTCCAGGAAAGTATATACAAATGAGTAGAAGTACTAACGCTGCCAGAATACATTCTGCGATTCGAAATTTAGATAATTACTTTTCACAAATTTTAAGGAATTAAAACACCTAAAAAACAATATGAATACTTACCAAAATACATCAGGCACATTATACGTTGTGTATGATTATGTACAAATGTCTTTAACTGTTCTACAAAGAAAATTTCATTGAAACTTTTAAGAAAGTCAAATGAATCAATGGGTTAAAAATAATAAATTTCCGCTTACCAGAAGTGTAATTTATACAACCGTGAGTCAAATTACCCCATCTGAAAAAAAATCCGTGTATATTATTATATATATATAGATTTAAATTTACATTTATAAAATGAATGTCAATAATAAAGATGCTTGCGTGTTTATGTGTATATATTACGTTTCATTGAAACATGGAGGTAAACCAGACGTATCTAAAATAACTGGGCCAAGAAGGAAACCCAAACAAACGCCCATATAATTGCATAATATGGATATGGAAGTGGCAGTTGTGCGTTGTTTAGTCGGGAACCATATGGAAGATAGAAGACTCGGTGCACCAGTTACGATTACTCCTGCTATTCCGTTCAGAATCTGAGCTACGTGTATTAATCTATACGAGAAAATAGAAAGTTTTGGTCGTTCAATTTACATTTTTTTAACACACGATTTCAAATTAGAATCAATTTACTTACGGTGTGGCAATTTCTGTCTTGTGTGAGATACATCGAAGTCCTGTTGCAACGAATACTAAGACGGAAGTTAATACTACACTCAGTCTAAGTCCTGAAGAAGTTCACAAATATATATATAAAGAAAAGTATATTGTTAACAATACAGTCTACACTCTTGCATAATAAAATCTAAAGCTATAAAATATGGGTATAAGCATAAGTCAGCAATATCAAGAATAATACCCATATTTATGTAAAGTTTTCTGCTTTTAATGATACATACATTGGCTCCCCCAACTTATTTACTTTGCCTTTCGACTCACTCTATAGTCCTTAGGTACAACTTTATAGTTAGATTTTTAATAGGAAATGAGGCAGTAAAATGAAAAAGACATTTCGTGAGGTGATAACCGGAGGATTCTATCGAAAGATAATACGAAAAATGATTATTTACCTATTTTATGAGCAGTAGAGGCAAGTTTTTTGGCGTGAAAATTTGGTAATTAATTCAAAAATTAGAAAAAATTCCCTTATATACAAGTAAATTAGTAAACAAACAAATTGCTGTATGTAGTTATTTCAATGTTACATCATCTCAAGAGTAAGGTTTATACATTAAAATACCAAAAAGTAATGGATATTATTACTTAATAATGCTCGATATTTGTGTAAGCCACACTTTAACTACTGTAAAATCATTTTTTTTTTCATTGTTAATTATGCCACAAAGTAATACGAGAGAGTACTTCCTATGGAATTCAAGAAGACAGCTGTTTATATTAGGAATTTGACTCAATTCTCTTATGATGTTATCAATTTGTGAGTATGGACTCAAACAAGTGTGACTCTACTAAACAAGAAACGAGCTAAATACTTTGTATATTTATAAAACAATACATTACCTCTTTTATTTAGAAACCAACAAATAGGAATTCCTAAAATGACAAATGGAATGTTTCCCCAATCAGCAAGCAAAGCGAGTGTTCCATCGTTCCAACCAAAGATTGCCTTTGCAGATTCTGGGATGGTACTCCACGTTATCCAAGCTAATGATTGGACTAAACATAATACCGAAAATAAAGCCAGGATCCACCATCTTCTCCTAAAAGTCTAAATGGATTAAACCGGAAGTTAGTAAATTAACAAGCGGGACATGAGAGTTTTTAAAATTACCAACCTGTACGTTAACGATAGAAGATTCGGTGTTAATACCTATACTATTGTAATTGGCTGGTGTAGAACATGGAAGAAGTTTCCGATTCTCGTCGTCTTTCTGTACTAGTAACTCTTTAGGTGTTGGTGTCATTTTTGAGTAATTTTATTTGCAAAATTTACAGGGGGTGATCCTAAAAAAAAAAAAAAAAAGACAATTTTAAGCATTTTAAATGACAATTTCTAAGGTATTTAACTTTAATTATGTAATTAAAAACTAACCCAACAACTAACACTAGGAAAGAAGTAATAGTTTTTTAAAGCAGTCTCATTTTAGCATGATCTAGTTCAAACCCACGCTTACGAAACCTCAAACAGGGCAACAAACAACACACGAAATCGAATTTGTTTGTTTCATTTTCTTTGTCTGACGTTTCTAATTATATTCTACACAATAAACAGGATGATATTTTAACATAATGCCGAGTAATGTCATTAAGAAATGACATCACATCCGGCAACCCCCCCCTGCATCAGCGATATCAAATCGTAATATAGGAAATTTTAACACTTACCTATACACAGGAATATATATAGATTTTCGATGGCATACAAAAAGCAATTGTGTGTGTGTTTAGGAAGGACTCTGTACTGTTGCTATGTGTAAATAGCAGCTGTTCTACCAGCACGTCACTTTGCAGAAGTTATATTGACAGTATCTACTTTAGAAAAAAATATAGAAACGTAAGGTTTATACCCCTATACATTACTTATTTTAATAATTATAATTAAGAGGGGGGATGTGTACAGGTGCAGTTAACGTGTTAGTATAACTCTGTACAACGCATCTTCACTCAGTGAATGTTGAAAACCGGTTGTGTCGAATGGAATGACGTCACACTTCGATCATATGATGTGTGACCTTTGACGAAACAGTTTTTTTTTTTATTATTATTTTAAAATAATTCAGAGTCAAGCGGGACGAGGTCATTACTGATACACACAACGTTAGAAGTTCTTAAAAATAAACTTTCGTTGATTTGTAAAATAAGTATTATGTGAGATTATTAAAGTGATGAGTGAATGTTTAGGGGGGGATTTCCTATTAAATAGGTCAATAATTGCTTTGTTTATATTGCAAGCTGCTTATTTTTATAGAGTAAATGCGTTGTTAAATATTATAGTGTTTTATATTATGTAAATATTCATATAATAGCTTGGAGAATAATGTTAAATATATTCGAATTATGTTGAGAGTTCATGTAAAATTGTGAAATTTTATAAAATAAAGTTTCAAAATAATATTATATTATTTAATTCCGTAACTAGATAAAGTGTATTTTATTGTGTAATGTCATAAATTATAATAAAAACTTTACAAGTTTTACTTTCCATGCTGTTATGTATACTTCTGTATGTGTTGGTGTGTATTTCGCTTAATATCTCAGGATGGGGGTGATTATTAAACACGAAATTTCGCATGATAACTTGTGTGTAAAGGGCATTAATACTATTAAATTTTGGTTGTTAAAGGTTGAGGAGATAAGGAGATAAAGGGAGGTCACGTGTGGGTGGGGTTTATTATTTAAAAAAAAAAGTTTAATTTCTCTTTCTGTCTATTTATTTATTTATTTATTTAGCTTTGATCTGCTTTCTTTCATATAACAGACATTTCTAACCGGAGAGAACCGGATGTTTTTATAACAAATTAAGATTTTATTCACCCGTTTACTGTTATAATTTATTAAATATAAACAATTTTAAAGAAAGTTCTTAAAGTTTATAAGCTTGAGATAAGGAAAATGTTGATGTTAATTTTAAAAGAGGGAATTAGAACAAGTTTTAGTAATGAATATCAAGTAGATTTTAATCCTTTATAGGTCATTTTTATTCTCTTGATTGGACTTAGACACTATATTTATATCCTGTACTTTTTGTTTTGCTCTGAATTTCGTAGAAAAATATCTCTAATTAGGTTATTATATGCAATTTATTCAACCTTTTAATCAAGAAGAATTTTATTTATATTATTGGAAATTACTTTCTTGAATTCTTCATATTGTCAATTGCTCCTCGAATTCTTCTTGATGAATGGGATTGATAGAGGCAGCAGCATCGTAAGATGAATGGGGATGTAAAATATAGTGAATAAATATAGCAAATGATAATGATGAAGCTTACACTGATTAATTAAGAATAATTCAGCAAGGGATTAATTATTCCTTTGCCTATTTCTTCTCCAGATCTTGATGAATGGGATTGATGGAGGCAGTAGCATCATGGAGTGAATGGAGCAATAGAGCATCTATAGTGTTCTAGTGTATATAAATGGTTTTAATTTAATAGAATTACAAAAAAAATGTACCAAATTTTTTAATGTGAAGAGCTTCAAGACAACAGGAAAATAAGAGAATTTAATACATTCCACAACGTAAATAAATAGAAATGTTTTTATATATTGGTTATACACTGGGAAATTTTTGTAAATTTATGGATCGAGGACGGAGATAAGAGTGTTAATGATTGACGTCACGTGGTTATTATCATTGTTTTCAATATCGAAACCACATAACATTGATAAATACATTTTGTTTATAAAGTTGTCAAGTTATGTAACTTGTTAATAAAATAATTATTTAAAAAACTTTAAAGTGATTTAGCTTAATCACTAGAACAATTTTCTTCATGCTGAATCACCGATTATTTAAATTTTAATTGTGTAAGACGTAAAACTGAGTAGGCTGTATTGAGTGATCTTCGCCATATTGGATAGTAACGCTTTACTCGCCACGACGCGCGATGTTCGCGACGGCGTCGTTTATAATCTGTTCGCTGATATATATTAGATAAGAGAGTTAATTAATTCATAAGATAATTGTTTGGAAACCCAAAATGAACATTATTTTTTTTTCTAATTTAAACGTTAATTTACGAAAATCAATCGAGACCAAGAAAAGTGATGCGACGCGTCACGTCGCGTCGCGTCGCTTAACTGGACTTTTCTACATGTTGAACAGTGGACTCTCGATATAATGAACACTTAAAGAACGAAGCTAAATCATTCACTAAGGATTAATTAATTTAATTAATTAATTAGCGAATGATTTAGCTTCGTTCTTTAAGTGTTTATTATATCGAGAGTCCACTGTCCAACATGTAGAAAAGTTGAGTTAAGCGACGCGACGCAACGCGTCGCATCCCTTCTCTTCCTTAAATAAATGCTTGAAATAAAATTTAATTTACATTTTATAATACGATAATTTTACTGTAAAATAATATATATTTTTAATATATAAAATTGGGTTTAATATCAATATATTTCTTCTAGTATATAAAGAAAACTTACCTTTTAATTACATGTTTTTAAATAAGATGATTAAATATGTTTATAATTAAACATATTTTACAGCACTTTAATTATAATTAAGCAGGTACTAAATGAGGATTTCATCGTTAAATCAATAGATTTTATAATTGAGATATCTTTGTATGACGTCTACCTTTTACAATTGTTACGTCAAGAAATATGTGACCATGAACTTAAACATTGTCATTTATTATCTTTTACCAGAATAAGATAATTAATTCTGTTCACCTTTTTTTTATGTGTTAAAAATAACATATTATTCATTAAATTTATAAGACAATTAATTATTCATCTTAATTTATAACGAAGAACAACCTCCAAACAACGGCTATTTTTTTTTATATTCCCTTCGGTGTCCGTTGTTCAGAGGTTCACCTGTACATAAAGGAAACTGTTTCTAAATAGCGAAGTAATAATGAAAATAATAGTATTACCTTGCCATGAAAAGAGAAAGGATGCAACCGATTAATGTTGCGAATGTGGCCATTCTACTGGATTCATTCTACAGATAAAAAAAAATAAAATAAAATATTAAATTTCTTTTATAGATTCTCGTAATTAAGGATGCTTTACTTAATACTACAAATAATTTTTTATACTTTAAATATGTCACACCTCATGGGGGAGGTAGTTCAGAATGTGATACAATGTGACAAGGAGAGGGTCACTTTTCGCATTTACCATTAATCAGTATCATATATTACGTTAAATTTACATAAGAACAATAAATGTGTATAATACAGTGATTAGTAACACATTATAAACTGTTATCTCTGTTTAGTAGTGTAGAATTTATATTTAAATAATACAGATTCTGATGATGTAGACACAAGACACCAACATTTCCATTGTGTCAATTAACAAAATTAACGCAGTGTATTTAGTATAATAATTCAACAGACAACGTGGCAAAGAATGAAAGGGAAGAGGCTAAAAATATGAAAATTTAGTGTGGCATCATTTATGGACGGCCCTTATGTTTCAAGAATAGAAGATAATCTAATATATATTGTAAGAAAATCTTACCTGTGTGATATTTAACGATTCTAACGCAACCCCTAACATGCTAATCCAGTTAGCAAATGTCGAGTTAGTAATGGCATAACCCAAAGATATAATCCAGAAATTTGTATTTCTGTAAAGTAAATGTACAAATATAAAATGAATTAAGTAAACAAACAGCTACAGTATAATTAATACACATAAATTTAATTATACAAACTTTCTTAGAAGTTTAAAGGAAGTGATGAAGTCCAGCCTATCCAAATGAGCCGAAGCAGTAGGAGGTAGGGGAGGTTTTCCAGGAAAGTATATACAAATGAGTAGAAGTACTAACGCTGCCAGAATACATTCTGCGATTCGAAATTTAGATAATTACTTTTCACAAATTTTAAGGAATTAAAACACCTAAAAAACAATATGAATACTTACCAAAATACATCAGGCACATTATACGTTGTGTATGATTATGTACAAATGTCTTTAACTGTTCTACAAAGAAAATTTCATTGAAACTTTTAAGAAAGTCAAATGAATCAATGGGTTAAAAATAATAAATTTCCGCTTACCAGAAGTGTAATTTATACAACCGTGAGTCAAATTACCCCATCTGAAAAAAAATCCGTGTATATTATTATATNTAACTGACTTTAGGGACATGTTACATATAAAATAGAATTAAAATTTTTAATTATATATTATAATAATCAGGTTAAATCTCAGTAGTTTAATAGTATCGATCAATGTGCTCAATATATCGATCTTCGATTGCTAAAACAATAGAGTCCCGCTTTAACGACTGGTATAATAATCTATTATCATTAAGTACAAATATCATACTTAATTATTATATTAATATTTCGTTGATAATCACTACAATAGATATATATTGTATATAGTTAGAACTGTTTATCAGAAACCTGAGAGGGCTCGCTTTACGACGGTATGTTTGGAGGGTCGACCATCTCTATATATTAGTACGGGGTGACCAGAAATCGATTAACCGTGTTTATTACAGGGAATTTAACAAATTTTGTCCGATCGAAACTTATTTCTGTATACGTAATCTCGTATTATGACGTCAGACTTACGGGTTCGTTTTACGACGGTTGGTTGAAAAGCCGGCATTTAATTAGATAAGAATGCAGATAAATTGTCGAATTATATCTTAAAAATTAATAAATGATAAATGAAGATAGGAATAAAAACATCATTGTAATTAAGGAAGTGAGGAATTTAATTTTAATTAACTTTAAATTGTTTCTTATTTAATTTTATAACCAAAACTATTATTGCTTGTAAATGACGTTTTAAATGGTTATTATTAATTTTTTTTTATTTTATATGCTTGTAACACATTAAAAATGCCGAGTTATATTGATATAATTAGCATTAACATTTAAATAAACTTTTAAATTATTGATAATAATAATATTATTATTATTATTTGAAGTACAACATTAAAAAATAAATTGCTGAAAATTGACTAAGAGCTATTGATTTTTATTTTTAAAAAAATGAAAGAATATTTTATTTATTTAAATTTTAAAAAATTATGCTCGACGTTCCAAACGCCATTGTCAAACTTCTAGGCTTACAGGAAGGTGGCGCTTGAACGTTCGACGTATACGTTTACGCGTTGAAAACGTCGGCCGCAACCTCTCTATTGTTTCTATGGCATTCAATTATTTTCTAGTACAGTACATAGAAAATTGCTAATATAAATAACTACACATGTTGTTGTCTAGTAATTTGTCTATCAAGATGCTCTTGAAGTAAATATCAAGTATCAAGACCTGAAGTTCGGCCTTAATAAATACTAGCAAGATTGAGGCCGAAGTTTTCATCTGTAAAACGTGAACGTCGAACGTCGAGCGCCGCTATCTTGTAAGAGGCGCTCGACGTTCGACGTTCACGTTTTACAGATGAAAACTTCGGCCTCAATCTCGCTACTGTATATGATTCATCTACAGTACAGAATGCCTTGAAAGTCAAATAACCAAATTGTTTAACAAGAAATTCGTGTAGGTATTTTGTGATTTTTATATTGAACAAGATACTTGTACCACGTTTCTTGTTGTTGACGTATTTTATATAATTATTGTAGTTTTTACATGGTTAACTGACTTTAGGGACATGTTACATATAAAATAGACTAAGAAACAATTAGATGATAAAGATAGAGATTATTCATCCTAACCATTAAAGGTTCTTCAGTAGAATCTCTTGCCTTTTAATTTTAAAATACACAATGCAACAGTGAAAAAAACTTTTCTCGAAAATGTAGGCATTCTTTATGTATTTCGACCACCTAAATTCGAAAATGATACTCAAAACATCGTATCACCACAGTTTTTGCACAAATCGCATATTTTGCCAATAATGATATCATATATATGTACATGTATATGGCATACGAATCATGCAGAAGTAAAATATAAGTTTAAAACAACAACGTATTGAAATATATACACAGTGAACAGATGCATACAGAGAATGTGGTACAAAACATGCACTAATATCATTCATTGCGTGCTTTCTTAGGCCCCTGCTTTTCCTCTTATGGGGAATTTCCGTTATGTGCTCACGGTGAAGCATCCAGCAGTAGTCGCCCATCATCCGAACATCCCAAGTTCCCTGGTATCGTCGTTCCATGTCCTTGATATCCTGATGGAATCTTTCACCCTGTTCCTCACTTACAGCACCCAGATTTGGAGGAAAAAAGTCAAGGTGCGAATTTAAAAAAATGTAACTTCAAACTCATTGAGCATCCGAGTATTTTGAATTTCATCAGCATGTTCTCAACCATGTCGATATATTCTGGGCTACGATTGTTTCCCAGAAAGTTTGAACCACACACTTAAAGACAGTCCAGGCTTCTCGCACCACGGCATTCATTGAATGAAGGAAATCTTCATCTATCGTTATTTTCCGAATATCGGGACCAGTGAACACGCCCTCTTTCAACTTAGCATCTGACAGGTTGGGGAACTTGTAACATAGATATTTGAAACAGTTGCCACACTGATTTAATGCTTTGACAAACTGTTTCATTATGCCCAATTTGATGTGCAGAGATGGTAAGAGTATTCTGTTTCTTTCCACTAGAGGGTCACACTTAATATTTTTGTCCCCCTGGAACCAATTCCAACCTTCGAGGCCACCGTTTTTGCTCCCAATGTTTGTCACGAGCTCGACTGTTCAATTCACAGATGAAACAGGGGAACTTGGTATATCCTGATTATTGTCCTCAACACTTTGAAATCACCACACACCATCCAATTGTGATCCTCATAATGAATGGTAGTAAGAAGTGCCTTAATGTTGTCATATGTTTCCTTCAGGTGCACAGAATGGCCGACAGGTATTGAGGCATTGACGTGTTTTCGTGTATATTATCATTATTACAATATGCGATTTGTGCAAAAACTATGGGTGATACGATGTTTTGAGTACAATTTTCGAATTCAGGAGGTCGAAATACATAAATAACGCCTATATTTTCGAAAAAAGTTTTTATGATATTACAATTTGTTGCATTGTGATATGAATAACACAGCAATCGAGACTTCTAGAGTTGTTAACGGACTTTTGGGCCATCCTAATGATTGATGTACAGTTCAATTTAGTATTTTCAACGTTCGTAATTTTCCTTTTCGTATAAATTGCGTGTCTATTCATCATTCTTGATCACGAATATATTTAAAATTGGAAAAAAAATATTGGTAAAAATTATTACTATGGTTAATTTTGTTGGATTATTATTATTTTAAAAATTGGAATTTAGTAATATACACGTGCCTGTATCTAAAAAAAGGCAGTTAAGTATTGTTAAATATTTATCTCTCTCTGTTAACTGATTTTTGGACCACCCTCTCTTATGAAAATGATACAGATTTTATTATAATTATCTAAATTAATTCTTTTTTTTTTTTTTTTAAATAACAATTTACTGTTGATTTAAAGTAATATATGTTAAATTTTCCATCAATATCACGCGAGTTTATGTGTCAAACAGCTTAATAAGCGAATCAATGATACAATGAAACGGATTGTGTCATTGACAAATATGTAATTGGATAGTTAAATATTTAAATTTACTTACCAATTAAAAATAGAAAACGAATTTTATAAGATTCTTCCTGAAAATAGTTGAAAAATTTAACACTTTTTCTTATTATTAAATAAAATACATGTATAATAATAATAACAACAAACGAAAACACTTTGTGTATATTAGATATAAGTAGTTGGTTAATAGTTGTGTATTGACTTAAGATTATCACAAAAACGAGATAACAAGAGCTTTCTTTATATGAAAGATGGAAGATGAATGTTCGAAGTAATCAATAGTTGTCATGACTACTGAAATAAGTCACGCACTGTCTATTCGATTCACTTGAATAACGCAATGATAAAGTAAAAATATTGAACAAGTTTTCATAACTTGAGACTAAGCAAATAATAATTTTAACTGCACTATTACATTCCTTTATCTTCACACCTATAGTTTCACCTTTTCTAAATTGAATTCCTTTAGAAAAAAAAAATACCATAAAACATTAATGCATTATGTATTAATAATGTGGTAGAACCTGTAAACAACGGACACTGACGATAACATAAACTATGAATATATATATATATTGAATGCATTACATTGTTATAATAGAAGAGAATGTGAATTTAAGTAAGGGATTGAATCAGATAGTGATTATTTCTAAACATACCGGTAAATTATTACTCGTTCATCTTGCTTTATAAGGGATTCGTATGCAAATAGGAATCTTAATTTACATTTATCAAAGAGTCCAAGGGTCAATTTTAATAAATTAAACAAAGGGCAATACACTAAAAGTGATGACCCTCATACAAAACGTCTATACATACTTCTTTCATGAAAAAGTACTTGAAATCTCTTGAAATATTTAATACAATATTAATATATTTTAAGAGATTTTTAATTATTAGATGTTTTTAGATCTGTTTTTGTATAGATAATAAATGCCAGAAAGTAATTTCGTAAGGAAATATCAAGCAATTTCCCTTTAATGTGACGGAGAGGAACACAACTTTACCTTACAAAATTACTTCATCTCGTCTATTATCACTATTTTATGTATTGTTTTCGTTTATACTTTTGTAAACTGAAAGTATTTTAATCATATTTTATCACTAAAATATTCTAAAGATCGACTTTAAAAAATCTGTAATAGTAAACACAAATTTATTTAAGATTTTTGAGTAAATATTATATCTAAACTATTAATGTTATCATTGTTTATCGAGTAACTTATTAACCAATAAAAAACAATAAAATTTTTTCTTATCGGTGTTATTTAAATCACAAAAAAGAACAATTAAAATAATTGATTTTCGATGTTTTACTTGCGAAAGAAAAATATTTGATACTGATTTGATACTGCGTTGAATAGCATTTGTTCTTTAACCATTGATTTTTGAATTATAAGCAAAGTATAAAATAAATAAAGTAATTATTAATTTATCTATTAAAATATAAATGAAATAATGCTGATAAAATACAATTCCCTTATTAAATTTTTTAATTATGGATGATATAATGTACACTTGTGTATAAATGTGGTAACAAACGTATTGTAGGAAGTATTTGGTGAATCGGACGACAGTTTGTATACGGGTACGTCATGCAATAAGGGAGTGATTAATCGCTTAAAATGAAAAAAAAAAAATAATAATAACTTTAAAGATATGCACGCTTTTCCAAGAATACCCGAAACAGATCCTCAAAAAAAAAACGAGGTTAAAAGGGAGTATGACCACTTGTGACGACCATACAGCACCCACAGTGGGAAGTCATGCTGTGTAACAGGTTCTGGAGAAAGCTTTGGAGCAATAAACCTTATTCCTTCACAAAAATGGAGGTCGATTTTGGATGGAGTGGCGTGCTGCAATGGATCTCTCCAGAGCATTCCAGATATAGGCTAATACAGGGTGATCATAATGAAAGTTGTCCTATTCAAAGGACTGTGTAGCTCCAAACAATAAGCCGACTGATAAGAAAATTTGTGACACGCTACTGAAAAGGATTATTGCAAAGAAAACTTTTAGTTTCAGATTTCTTTTCTACAGAGTAAATGGCGCCGAAAAAACAAAACAAAAACATAACGTCAAAGCATTTATTCATTCGTATGACAACATCAAGCTTTTCGAAGCATTAAAATTAAAAGTTTACGCTAAATACTTTTGTCCAAGTTTGATCTTAGATACGATTCTTTCAGGAAAATGGCTAGTATTAATCCAATTATCGCAGAACCGATCAAGCACCAATTCATCCAACTAGTATCTGTTAGATAGAATAAACAATAGTAAATTTACAATTATTTAATTGTTAGCCGATGTTTAATAATAATAATAATAATAATTACCTGCATTTTGTAATGCAATCAGTGCTACAAATACAACTCCGAATAGGTTAGATAGAGTTTGAAGTATTAGTCCCAAAGTTCCTTCAGAAATTGGATAAAACGTTTCTGATACTAATTCCATATACAGTGGAGTGGGTATACATGTTAATACTCCGTTAATAATGACAACAGTGTACAAAATTTCTAGATATAATACATTAAAATTACATATATAAGATTTGAAATTCTCTCTTTTGAATAAGTACCATACGTACCTTGAGATGATAAAATGATTCCTGTGAAAATAAGAGAGTAAATTATCAAGTTAATGCACCCAATAACCCATAATACGATAAGGAATAGCTTGATATAACTTCCTTTTAAGTCAATAATTCTGCAAAAACAAATATAACTAATTTCTGTACGTATATCAGTAATTTAATAGAGAATAAATAAAGAGATCCTATTCGAAATTCTACAGTTATCCCTCATTAGTTACCATATTAAATAAATTAATAAAGAATGAAATCATATTAAACAAGTACTCACTCACCTTGCCATAATTAACGAAAGAATGCAACTAATTATAATACTTATTGTATTCATTTTATTAATTTCAATCTACGAAAAACAATTAAAGAAATTTAAATAAATCAATATAATATTAATATATACTCTGTAATAAATTTCAGTAAAATATGTTCTTCACCACCATTATGGGCTTTGCCGAATCCAAAAAAAAAAAAGGCCCTCGTAATGCCCTCGCGGTGGATATAAGTAGTTGGTTAAT